TGTGTTCATCATAATAAAAAAGAAATGACTTTTGCTTTACAAAGTACAAGCTCTTTCTTTGCATTTAGCCCCAGACAACTAGGTGGTGCTTAACTAGGTGCTTAATTTGTTGTTGCTGTTGTTGTTTTTTAAATCTGTATTTATTTGGCTGTGCTGGTCTTAGTTGCATCATGCAGGATCTTCAGTCTTTGTTGCACCATATGAACTCTTAAGTAAGGCATACTCTTAAGTACCCTGCTTAAATAAAGGATATCTTGTGGAGGGAAAAAGACTTCAGGGACAAAAAAAATAAAATCTGTTCATTTTTACATGTTGAACTGGATGAAGTGGCAGCCAAGAGATTCTCATGGGCTCCCATCAGGATTTATGGAAATACAGAGATCTGCTATTCGTGGGCCCCATGCCCTCAGCCAACCACAAATCACTGCCTCCCTAAACTTGACTGTAGCCATAGCCATGACCCAACCCTAGGGATGAACAAGGCGAAGTACCTCCAAGCTCGATGGGTTCTGGTTGTGGCTTGGGATGCTCAGAAACCCAGCACATGTTAGAAAGGTGCATGTGCCCAGATCCTGAAGGCAATGCCTTATTAAGGACTCGCTGGAAAATTCCATGATATTCCAGTTGGCCCCTTAGAAGATAATGAGAAACCTGCTGGCTACTTGAGGCATTCCTGAAAGGTTCAGTCAGGCATAGACTAACAACTGCTGAACATCAGTTTCCCCCTGTATTATGTGTTCTATTGGTCTGGTGTTAAAATGTGCTGTTGTTCATACCTTATCACTGTCTGACCAAGTGATTAAATTTTCCCAAGCAGTCATTAATTTTTGAGATGAAATGCATGAGACTGTCTTTCTCTGTTTACTGAGTTGGAGTTTCCCTCCATCTATTTAAGAATTCTCGATCTTGAAACAATATCTAAAAACAGCTAGAGGATGTGCTTTCATTGCTCTTAATTTCTTGTGCAATTCTTAGATCATTGACAACTACCTTTGAAGTTTTGCTAACACTAAAATTTCTATCAATCATTCTGTCATTGAAAATCCTCATTTACTTCCAGATGTTCAGCAGGGCCTCGAGTGATTTTTACCTAAAGAGAAAAAACCATAACCTCCATTTTCTTGGTTCTTCAGAATTCATGAACAATTATGTAACATCTCACTTTTTAAAAATACCTATTTTTTGTTTGGCTGCACTGGGTCTTAGTTGTGGCATGTGAGATCTTTGGCCTTCCTTGTGGCATACGGGCTCTTTTAGTTCTGGTATGCAGAATCTTTAGTTGTGGCATGTGAACTCTTAGTTGCAGCATGTGGGATCTAGTTCCCTGACCAGGGATGTAATCCACACCTCCTGCATTGGGAGTGTGGAGTTTTAGCCACTGGACTACCAGGGAAGTCCCTCATCTCATTTTTAACACAGAGGTAAACAGGAATTATCCCCATGTGACAGATGTGGAAACTGAGACTTACCCACAAGTGCTAAGCTGGAAGGTTAAGTAGCACAATCAGAACTTGAGCTCCCGCTTCTGCCTCAGAAGCCCACGTTCTTTCTATTACCCCCTGTTCATGTCAACCTTGACCCTGGCCAAGAATGAGAGCAGATGTGTGCGATGGGAGAGGCCGCATGGATGGATTAGAACAGACCCATTCATGCTCCCAGAAAAATAACTCAAAATGCACGCCCCAGTGTTGATGGGACTGCAGCTCATCTTCAGATAGAGAAGAGTACGTCTGACACAGAAGTCATGTTTTGAAAACTGACCAGAACTACCCTGACATCTGGCTTGTTAATGTGTTAGAGAAAGTGAAGCAGCAAAGGACAATAAGTTCTAGAAAGCTGAGAGAAAAACACGTATCCAGGGATGGAGGGAAAGAGGATGCAGCGAGCACCAAAGGTCCCCCCACCCGCGTCACCATCCTCTGCTTCCCTTTGCAGCCTGGGTCACATTCAGAGCCTTTCTTAAGGACCACTTGGTGGTCCCCAAACACACTTCACAGGTTGCTTTCGTGATGCCTTTGGGTTTTTGTTGTTGTTCATTTGCTAAGTTGGGTCTGACTCTCTGCGACCCCTTGGACTGCAGCACACCAGGCTTCACTGTCTTTCACCATCTTCCAGAGTTTGCTCAAACTCATGTCCATTGTGTTGGTAGTACTATCTAACCATCTCATCCTCTGCCACCCTCTTCTCCTTTGGCCTTCAGTCTTTCCAGCACCAAGGTCTTTTCCACTGAGTTGGCTCTTCTCAGGTTGCCAAAGTATTTAGAGCTTCAGCAACATTCCTTCCAATGAATAGTCAGGGTTGATTTCCTTTAGGATTGACTGGTTTAATCTCCTTGCAGTCCAAAGGACTCTCAAGAGTCTTCTCCAGCACCACAATCCCAAAGCATTTATTCTTCGGTGCTCACCTTCTTTATGTCCAACTCTCACATCTGTACATGACTACTAGAAAAAACAGTGTTGACTATATGGACCTTTGTTGGCAAAATGAAGTCTCTTCTTTTTAACATGCTGTCTAGGTTTGTCATAGCTTTTCTTCCAAGGAGCAAGCATCTTTTAATTTTGTGCCTGCAGCCACCATCTGGAGTGATTCTGGAGCCCAAGAAAATAAATTCTGCCACTCTTTTCATTTTTCCCCATTTATTTGCCATGAAGTGATGAGACCAGATGCCATGACCTTAGTTCTCTGAATGTTGAGTGTTAAGCCAGCTTTTTCACTCTGCTATTTTACCTTCATCAAGAGACTCTCTAGTTCCTCTTCACTGCCTTTGGGTAAGTGCTTTTTAAAATCCCAGATAGCTTCTATGAAGTAAATCCCACTGATGAAGTGCTACCTTTTCCAGGAAGCTGTTCCTAAACATCCCATAGGAACAGAAGTCTGTTCCTCCTCCACTCCTCCCCCATTTGATCCCATGTTAGATGGTGAGAGCTTGGAGGTTGGAGGCTGCATGGTCTGGGGGAAAAGCCACAGGCTCCAGACCTGACCGCCAGGTGCTGGAGAAGAGTGTGCTGCTCAGCCATCTCTGGACTTGGTTTACAAAATACCAACGAGAATTAATTGCAATATCTACTCTTAATCACAGCTGTTGCCTGCATATAAAATCTTGAGTCTCCCTTTCAGATGTACAGCAAATGTATATAAAAAGACACGAGAGAACAGGAATGACCTCAGCGTGTCAAACTTGTAAACATTTCTGCGATCTTGCCCTCACAGGGAAATCCTTTATTTCTTCCCTTTCAGACTTTAAGCAGAACTGACAACCATTTGTGTTCTCTTTGTTTGAAGCTTTATTTTTGCGAGTCAAGGGTCTTTTTCCAGGTTTAGCTTTTTCCTTAATAAAATTAATACTGCTCATGAAATGATTTCGTGGAAGAGTGCGTGGGAAGTCTCGGTGGGGCGGGGGTGGGGAGGGGGTGTTGATCCTGGAATGCTCCCCACAAGGAGAGATTATAAGAAGGGACAACCATAATCCTGCCATGTCTAGTGGTTCAGGGTCTTTTCTCGCTTTACACTCTCTTCTTTCACTTTAGGAGAGAATGTGTAGGTGTATACACATATGCATGCATGTGCATGCACATCCACACACCTTTGACCCCTTTAAGGAGGGGTGATGGAAGAAAGCCTTGAGAATTCACCCTCTTGCATCAGTGCTTTTATTTAGTTTTGTTACAGAAGGAAGCAAAATAGAGGAAAACTCCTTCAATCTGTGATCCAGGCAAGTGTGGCTGCTGCCCCTAAGAGTGTCCAGCCAGTCCTGGGGCTGGCTGACCTGCAACTCTCAGTTCTGGTAGAGCTGTTGATGTCTGGGGAGCCTCAGAATTTTCACCAACTGCTAGATGAGTACTCAGGCAGTATAGTTTTTGTAAAATGTGCATTCAGAAGATGAAGCTGTCTCTTCTAAAGCTTTCCTTTCTAGATCTTCTGAATAATTCTGCTCCAACATACAGAAAAGAGCTTGGGACCATGAAATGCAGTGAAAATGTGATCACTTCAGTTCAGTCGCTCAGTCGTGTCCGACTCTTTGCAACCCCATGCTCACGACAAATGGAGAACCAAGATCCCGTGTGCTGGGTGGGTCCAGTGAGAAGGACTAAAAGAGGGGTTTAAGTTGGCCATGGAGAAGGGAAAAATGACCTCAAGAAGTGGTAACTGCAGATGAATTTAGCTAAGGTGCAGAAGAGGCAAGGACGGGGTTTACAGAGGAGCTGAGATAGGTGTAGGAGAGGAAGAAACGTTAAGTGTCCAAACTTGAGCTGCCGGACTGAGGTCAAGTATGGTGCTGCCTTATACCAGCTGTCATTTAACCACTCTGTGCTTCTATTTCCTGTTGACAAAATGTGGATAATAGTAGTTTTTCATAGGGTGGTGTAAATATTTTAGTGAATTAATGTTTTAAGTGCTTAAAACAGTATCTGGCACAGAGCAAGCATTATACAACTATTAGCTGTTATTACTAGAGCCATTACTTCATTATCACTGTTATAATGATCACTGTTATGATTAAGGACCAGGTCTTGAGTACAGAAGTATAATCGTAGCCACTAAATTCAAATGGTACTCAGTAGCATCCTTGCTTGGTTGTGTCTCATTTTTGGATCACCAGAAATGCATTATTTTTCTGTTTCCAGTGAGGGGGAAATGTGTATCTGTAAGAATGACTGCTTTATACATTTAAAATGTTTTGATGAAAACACCTGATGGGTTCAGGTAAAGCCATTCTTCCAGAGGCTTGCTGCACTCTCCGATGGTTTGGTTTTTCAGTTCTTTACTCTCCTGGGATGCATTCTACCAACTGTTCAGCTACTACTGGCATCTACTGTTCAGAATTTTAATTGTGCTGTCAAGTATGAATTGTATGTGGGTGTGCAGAGCACCCATAAAGGATATTGAGATGTCCCAGGGTCGGGGGTGTGCCTGGGAGGCAGGGGCACACAGTGGGTGAACACATCCAAGTGTGAACAGACAGTGATGGTGTGTCACGGTTGTTGTCATGTCCTTCGCAGATGACTATGCCCAGCTGTGTAACATCCCTGTCACGGGACGCCGGCAGCCATATGGACGGGATGCCTTGGTTGACTTCAGTGAACAGTATGCTCCTGAAGCTGATCCCTACTTCGTTCAGGACCGTAAGCAACATTTTTTTAGTTACTCTGAAACTAAATTGTGGTTTTGAAGTTTAGTCAGTAGCTCTCAAAATGCAGTGCCTGGGAACTTGTAAGAAATGCAGATTTGTGGGTGATGCTGTAGACCTGCTGAATCAGAAACTAGGGTGAGACCCACCCTCTGAGTCATCCTTATGGACGCTCAAGTTTGAGAACCACCGGATCATATTAAGAGTCTCACTGCTGGGAACAGTGTGTTTATTTTCTTTACAGAAAATCATCATCTTATAATTTCCACGACAGTCATTTCTTTACCCATGAAGTGGTGGCCTAGCATAAGGGCCAGAGTTTCCCTAATAGTTTGGTTGCATCTTTACAAGCATTTAAAGGGGAAGTAAAACAGTTGCTCTCTCCTGGTCAGAGATGAATTTTTAGAATTCATTTGTGAGGGGGTTTACTAAGTAAGAAATGATGTTGTGTGATGGCTTTTCCTGGATTTGTGAACAGAGTTCAAGTGTGAGGTGGAATGTGCCTGTGTGAACCCTGTTCCCATTTAGAAAGTAAAGCCTGAAGGTCCCACCAGAGTGTCCTGGAGAGGGGAGCCACACAAGCTAAATGTGTCTGTGGGAGAGACCAGAGCTTGCAAATAACAGATGAGTTATGTGAAGTCTGAAAAATGGGATGGTACAGATTGAAATATCAGTAGACAGGAGGTGGTCTGCCTTCCCGAAAGGGGCCAGGTGCCTGCAGACCAGGGTGCTGACACTATACAATGCAGTGAGGCTGTTCTTTCTTATCACTTGTGCACACGGCAGCCTCGCCGTGATCTGTGTCCTGCAGACCAGTACGAGCTTCCTGGCTGCCTCTGGAGCTGCTTCCACTCAAGTCCAAGAGTGTTTCCCTCCCTCCTTTCTTTCCTTATGTTTTTTGAAAGGTGCAATATGTTGATCCCTCAGCTGACCTAAAACTGCTTTAAAATTTCCATTCAAACAGCATGCTATTAAACCAGCGAGGTTGGGTCTTCTAGATCTGAGTGAGGCTAGAGCGTTGGCAGCATGCAGAAGGCCCTGGTGCCCTTGGCCAGCTATCCTCTCAGGGTGACCACTGTCCTAACTTCTAACAGCTTAGATTATTTCTTTTAATCAACCACAGATAACCATGTCCTACTTCAAGAAATGTACTTACATTGACAGCTATAAGACTGTGTGCACTTAGGATTTCTACATTTCTGTGTATATGTTATAGGTCAGTAAATATTTACTTTAAAAAAGAGAAAATAAATATTAAAATTGAAAGAAAGTACAGCTTTGCCTGGCTGATAAATCCAAAATAACAGGGTAAATCTATATGTAACTCTGACACAATCTCATGCTTGTGTGTGCTCTAATGCCTTACAGTTCAGATGCCACAGATTTTAATGTTGAAATGTTCTGGCTTAGGTATTGGCTTATGTACCTTTTTTTTTTTTTTAACACTGTCATTGCTTTAAAACTTAAAAAATACCCATTACAAATGTTAAAAAATAAACATAGTGATATCAGATCAGTTTTCTATTTAGCAACATAGGAAGTTGTGATGCAGTTCCAGGACCCCAGCTTTAACTATGTAATGGCCTTTAAAGTTCTTATGAATTACAGAGAAACGGCTCCTCTTTCTCAGACCAGAATCACAGGTTGTTTGCCCCTGCTGAAGACAGGATAGGTAGTAAAAGAGAGGCTGAGATTTCTACCAACCTTGTGATCCACCCTGTCCTGTCTTTCTGTTTAAGAAAGTTGAGCTAATGACTGGTGTTACCTTAAGTTAGAGATCAACTTTTCTTATAGCTGCCCAGTTTGTGGGCTTTACATACTATACAGTCTCTTTTGCAGCTGATGTTCAACTCTGCTCTGATATTAGGAAAGCAGCCACAGGCAGATATTAGTGAACAGGTGAGGCTGGCTGTGTTCCAGTGAAATTTCATTTATAAAAATAGGTAGCAAGCACCGTTTAGAGCAGGGGCTGTGTGCTTTGCTGGTATTTCAGAGTCCTGTAGAAGTATTTTGGGGCATCTTCTTAATGTGTGTGTAGGAATTTCACATTTTAATTTCATCTTTTAATCTAATAAAAAATTTTTTTTACTACTTACAAAGTAAAAATGATTTTGTTGTGATACCTGGACTTTGAAGTATTTCCATAGGTTGACTTTCTTGTATTTCTCAAAACTGGCTTTCAGGATCTGCTGACAGTCTTGATGGCTAGTTGGATTTCTTTTCCCTTTAAAATTTTTAAAATGGCATGTCATAGATGTATTAGTTTTTTCCATATTTCTTTCTTAAAAGTTAACTCGTGCATTATAGGAAACCAAAAAACAAAGTCATCCTTAGTTTCCTGTTTGTGTCCTTTCAAGTCTCATTTGTGTGTTTCTACAACTGAGCATCCATTTTTATATAATTAAAATCATAGTTATGTATCATGCTTTTATACACACATGAATATTTACCATTTCAATGTCCCAAAGCTATGAGTATTTTGATACACTATACCAACTCAATCTGGAAGGAAATATATGTGTGTGTGTGTGTGTGTGTGTGTGTGTGTATATATATATATATATAAATAAAATCTTGTTACTCTTGGTAAAAATTTCAGAAAAGACAAAAATGGCAATAAGTCTCTAAATAATGACACTGGCAGAGATATGATTAAAATGCTGCTTTCCCCTAATGTTCAATTACAGACAAGATAAAACAACAGAGTGCGTAAAGTATTAATATAGTGCTTCTAAGATAATTCATGATCCTATCTAAACCATTAAAGTATTAGCAAGAGGGTATAGTTGAATTAATGACAGTGTATTCTTACAGTATAGCCAAGACGGGCACACAGACATCCTTCTCTTCACAGTTCCTTCTGCCTCTATGCTGCCAACCCAATGAACAAGTCCCGATTTACATTTCTGAGACAGTGTAACAATTCCATGTTCAAGATGCTGCTGTTTTTAAATCAATTACAACAAAATTATATATTGGTTAACTCACTAGCTCTACTTCTTATCCCACATTGTTACCTCAGAACATGTAAAAAGCCACATCAATGTATGGCAAAAAACCACCACAATATTGTAAACTAATTAGCCTTCAATTAAAAAAAAAAAAAAGCCTGTGCTGTAAAATAATGTCAGACCTTACAGCTGCATCAGCAATGATGCTTTGCTGCCCCCTGCAGTTCCACTGGAGAATTACTTGAAAGGCCAGTTAGAGAGCTCTGGCCCTAGGTAGATTTTTTTTCTTCCCCCTTGAAAGCTAATCCATGGTAGTAGCTTCAGAAGCAGGGGAGAGGATGGAAGGCCACGTGTTTTGGGGTCATCATGAATTTGTATTTGCAACTTCCCTCTCTATAAAGAGAGCTAAAATATTCTTAACGCCTGGTTACATTGCTTTTGTGTTGCTAAACTGGCTCTTTCTCTTTAAACTGATTCAGAACTAAACAAGAGCGTCTTTGTTTTCTTAAAAAAGTGTTGTGGGGTTTTCTAAATAGAAGTATGATGTATTTTTCTCATTTATCAGGATGTTTGGAGCCCTTTAACTGCCTTTAGCCTTTGATCCCCCAAGGGCCCTTTTGTAAGGCTCCTTCCAAAGCCAGAGCAAACAAACAGACCGTATTAAGGCAAGGCCAGCCTGGCTTTTCTCTGCTCTGGGAACCTGCAATCCAACAGCACTGCTTCCAATGCTCGTGCCTCCTAGCAAATACCTACGCTGATCATGAATTCCATTGGTTCCATCCTGAAAGATGTTTTGACGTGTGCCCTACTGAGAACTTGGGAAACTTAAAATCTTAGACAAGAAAATGTTAACTAAAGTAAAAAAAAAAAAAAGTACCTACTTGCTGTATTGTTTTATGTGATTTTGATTCAGAACATCAGAATTCAAAATGTGGGGCTAATCTGTACAACATACTAAAAACAACATACACTTTAAATGCTTAATATCATGTGCAAATATATTTGCTTAAATTTCAATGCTATCAATTGCTCTCAATGCTAAAATTCAATGCTATCTTTAAGGTACTGGAAATATGTATGATGAACCATAACCTTAATAATCATGTTCTTTTAAAAAATGGTGTAAGAGGATGAAGATTTGTACCTTGCCTCCTGTTTGTGCCCTTCCAGGTTTTTTAAATAGCTTTCAGGAGCTGCAGGCTGAAGAATGTGGCATCCTCAATGGATGTGAAAATGGCCGCTGTGTCAGGGTGCAGGAAGGTTACACCTGCGATTGCTTTGACGGTTATCACTTGGATATGGCCAAGATGACCTGTGTCGGTAAGAACCACATGTATCTGATGGGAAGTTATCCTTTTCCTGAGATGCCGTGTGGCTGGACATCATATAGTCTAGGTACATTAAAGATTTGCAGTGTTTCAGTTTGGGAAGATGAGAAAAATTCTGGAGGTGGACAGTGGTGACGATTGTATAACAGTGTGAAGGTACTTACCACCACTGGACTATCCACTCAAAAATGGTTAAAATGGTCAATTTTATTTTCTGTATACTTTACCACGATTTTTAAAGAAGTACTTAGGAATTCATATAAATGGTACAGATCGAGGAAACACCAGAACATTTGGGGTGATTACTTTGACTCTTTTAAATTAAGCCTTTGACTCAGCAGCAAATAGTGTTTTCCCCTCAATACCTGCCACCAGCATGAGGGACATATAGATGAAAAAGAAAATACTTCCATTTTGGAGAAGGTTTGTTTTTAAATGAAAGTCTCATGTAGCCTTCTCTTTTACCTTTAAGAGAACAATAAAGGGGTGTTTTTTCCTTTCTGTGTAATTGATGCTATGTTCCTGAGCCTGCTGGCCTCCATGCTGAAAGACCTCTGACTTGCAGGGATTCTTCCTATTTTTGCGGCTGTTTTTCTCCCTCCTGTAGTTTTCCCACTTCAGTTTTGTCAGTCTGTGGTGGTTCAAAAACAGGCAACCCAGGTTGGTACACGTTTCAAGGGCATAAAACAGTTTCTTTCCTGTGGAAAGAAATCTCAGAAAGTAACTTAAGCCTTGAGAGAAGCATCTCGGAGGCTCTATTTTTCTTGACAACGTAACTGTTCTTCTACAGCTGCAGAAAGGGATTTAGAAGTAGGATAGTTCTAGTTTTCTTGACTCTAAAAACTCAAGCTGACAAAATGGCCCCTGTTATGTCAAATAACAGGGAAAGAAATTCTAGAATCCCTTGGATAATCACCTTTTTGCGATGTAGAAGGTCATATTTACCTTGCATAAACAGATAGTAATAGGAAAGACTATGCAGTTTACTGTGGAGAGAGCACAGAACAGCCAGGCTGTGTTTAGGCAGAGGCCTCAGGTAAGCTGTTGATTGTTTCTCCTCCTGGAGTGATGTGAAAGCTTGCTTACCTACGTGGTTTGGCTTACTGCAGATGTCAACGAATGTGATGAGTTGAACAATCGGATGTCTCTCTGCAAGAATGCCAAGTGCATCAACACCGAAGGGTCCTATAAGTGTGTGTGTCTGCCGGGCTTTGTACCTTCCGACAAGCCAAACTACTGCACTCCATTGAATACTGCCTTGAATTTAGAAAAAGACAGTGACCTGGAGTAAAAGAGAAGCTAACATAACCTAAGCCTGTATACTCTGCACTGTGTAAAGGAGAAAGAGAAATGTATTATACTTCAGACATTGCACCTAACCCAACATGCTGGAAATAAGGAGACATCATGGAGTTGTATATCCTCAGAAGAGAAAGGATTCAGTGTGAGCCTGAATGGTGTGACAGACCAAATGGACATTTCTCTGAAAAAGAAAAAAAAACAGTATATATAGTCTGTTCATATGTAAAATTCAGTGGAAAAGAGGCAGAACAGTGCTGTTATTTTAAACAGAAGGTTGTATTATTATGTTTTTGTTTTGATATTTTTTACTATTGCTTGATTAAATCTGGCATTTAAATAGTGGTGGAAATATTTTATAAGATTTTCATTTTGTGGTTATGCAGTTACTTGGCTACTGTTTCTTTTTCAAATGTCAAGTGCAAAAAGTCTTTGATAAAATATTGTTTAAACTATTATAAGTAATGTTACACAGGGTTATGCTATTCCAGGTCTGGAAGATTTTTAAAATCCAGATTGTCCTGTGGTGCAGGCAGTGATTGTTTCAAAACTTTTATACACATTTGGAGAAAAGGACTTTATATTTACGATGTGTTGTCTGATTTTAATGTCCATTCTTAGCCAAGCTGCTAGTAGGTGTTAATTGGATCCCTTTCCTACATTGAAATGGAAGAACTAATGAATGAGCTTACACTAGTATTGTAATGTATAAAGTAGGACCAGCAAATTTTTTAAAAACTTGATGATCCCAATATATTTACCACTGTATGTTAAAGCAAAATAAATCACCTTTTTTTTTTAGAAAATTTCTACCTCAGAGTTACGTCAATGAGCATATGCATACCAGTTATCCACCCCACCACCAATGGTCTTCTATGAATGTGGAGTCTTTTCGAGGTTAATTATTAAATTTGTTATATACTGTTATGGGTGGAATTGTGTCCCAAGAATTCATGTTGAGTCATGTCCCCTCAGTACTGTGACTGTATTTTTAGATGAGCTAATGACTGTTAAAGGTCACTGGGGTGGGCCCTGATCCAATAGGGCTGGTGGTCTTTATACGAAATTAAAACACACGCAGGAAAATCATGGGAAGACACAGGGAGCCAGCATTGGCAAGCCAAGGAAGGTGGCTAAGAAGAAAATTCTTCAATACCTTGAACTTTATCGACTAGGGGATTTTTGCAGAAACTAACACCAGTGGCCAGCAACTTGGTATGTAAGTGAATATTGAAATGTCTCTGGTCAATAATGGGTTAAGAAAATAAATTTAGGCCACCCAGTCTGTGGTATTAATACTTTTGACAGCCCTAGCAAATAAATAACAGGTGGATATCATAGGAAGAAGTTTTTGATGTTCCAAGCCTTGCTTAATACACATCCACAGTCATGCAGTTGTCTTATTTAACCTGAATCTCAGAATCATTTTTAATAAAGAACATCTGAATTTTCAGAAAACAAACTATGTATGGGCATACTCAGAAGAAAATATCTCCATGTAACATTTTCTTCTAAGACAGGCTTTTGGATTTTGGTTTCTGCCATAGGAAGAATGGTGCACCTAAAATGTCCATGCCCCCTGCTGCCAAGAGTTCCACGACCAACCTCTGTCCCTGCCTTCCCAGGAGCTTGTGCAGGCTGTGCACACCCGCTATCAAGGGGACGATGTTCCAGCATATGCTGAGAGAAGAGACATCCAAACTAAAAGCATTCCTCATGCCAAAACTGTATTAAACCCACACCAGTTACACAGGGACACTCCCACATATAAAGAGCCCTCCAAGATCACAGTAGATAATTGTTTCTCAACTCTCAGAGTAACAGAAAATAAGTATAAGCAAAATAAAGAAGCAGAGGAACCACTCCCAGTTGAAAGACCAAGAGAATTCCCCTGAAGGAACAGTGTTCTTGAATCTAATATATATCAAGTTTTAAAAGGAGGTAATGAAAATACTGAAGGAATTAAGAAAGACTATCAACAGAAATGCAGATTGCTGTAAAAAGGAACTAGAACCTATGAGGAGGAGCCAAGAAAAATTAGAAAATTCATTTGCTGAGATGAAAGCTGAGCTCAAGGCAATGATTAGCAGAATGAATATAGTAAGTCCCCTACATATGAACCGTTGAGTTGTAAACTTTCAAAGAGGTGAACGTGTGTTCCATCAGTGTTAGGCATGAATGCAAATGCAGCTTGCCCTCTGTTACCTATTGTTGAAGACCCTTCGGCTCTCTCATCTCCTGTTTCCTCTCCCTCCTCTGGTCAGTAACTCTTCTTGTTCACTTGATGCCAGCCCCTGTATGCCAGTTGTTGTACTTTACGATACTCTACTGTAAGATTTAAAAATGCAGAAGAGAGAATATGTGATCTAGAAGGTAGAATACAGTAATGGAAATTACCCAATCAGAACAGCAGACAAAAAGTCAAATGAAAAGAATTAAAACAATATAAGAGACCAATGGGATAATATAAAGTGTGCCAATCTATGCACAATAGAGATTCCAAAAGGAGAAGAGAAAGGGGGACTAGAAAAGGGGATTAAAAGTGTATTTGAAGAAATTATGGAACCGCCATAGTGTTCTCCATAGTGGCTGTATCAACTTAAAAAAACTAAAAAGAGAACTACCATATGACCCAGCAATCCCACTCCTGGGCACATACCCAGAGAAAACCATTAATTTCAAAAGATACAGGCACCTCAATGTTTATTGCAGTACTCTTTACAACAGCCAGGACATGGGAAGCAATTTATCACTCCTCTGTTGATGAATATTTAAAGATGTAGCACATATATACAATAGAATATTACTCAGCCATAAAAAGGAATGAAAGTGTGCTGTTTGTGGAGATGTGGATAGACCTAGAGAATGTCATACAGAGTGAAGTCAGAAAGAGAGAAACAAATATTGTTTATTAACTCATATGTGGAAATAGAAAAATGGTACAGGTGAACCTCTTTGCAAAGCAGAAAGTGAAAGTGAAGTTGCTCAGTCATGTCCGACTCTTTGCAACCCCCCAGAGTGTAGCCTACACCAGCTTCCTCCATTCATGGGATTTCCCAGGTAAGAGTACTGGAGTGGGTTGTCATTTCCTTCTCCAGGGGATCTTCCTGACTCAGGGATCGAACCCGTGTCTCCTGCATTGTAGGCATACACTTTACCATCTGAGCCAGCAGAGAAATAAAGATAAAGACATACAGGACAAATGTATGGACACCAAGCGGGGAAAGGGGGTGGGGTGGGATGAATTGGGAGATTGAAATTGACATATATGCACTACTATATACAGAATGGATAGCTGATGGGAACTTCCTGCATAGCACAGGCAACTGTACTCAATGCTCTACAGTGACCTAAATGGGAAGGAAATCTAAAAAAGATTATGAATGAATGAATCATATAGCTGATTCATTTTGCTGTATGGCAGAAAATAACATTCTAAAGCAAGTTCAATAAAATTTTTTTTAAAAGAGGAAATTATGTCTGAAAATTTCTCAAAGCTAAAGAAGGAAATAGATATCCAGGTATAGAAAGCATAGAGGTTCCCAAACTGCTGCTGCTAAGTCACTTCAGTCGTGTCCGGCTCTATGCGACCCCATAGATGGCAGCCCACCAGGCTCCCCCGTCCCTGGGATTCTCCAGGCAAGAACACTGGAGTGGGTTGCCATTTCCTCCTCCAATGCATGAAAGTGAGAAGTGAAAGTGACGTCACTCAGTTGTGTCCGACTCTTAGTGACCCCATGGACTGCAGCCTACCAAGCTCCTCCATCCATGGGATTTTCCAGGCANACTTTAAAACAAAGGCCCTAAAGAAAGATAAAGAAGAACCTTATATAATGATAAAAGAATCAATACAAGAAGAGGAATTTACACTCATCAGCAACACCCAAATATATAAATACCAACAGAAAAGGAGAAATTGATGGGAATACAGTAATAGTAGAAGATCATAACACCCCACTCATTATCGATGGATGGATCTTTTAGACAGAAAATAAATAAGGCAGCAGAGATCCTGAAATATACAATAGAACTGTTAGTTGTTATTTTCAAGACATTATAGCCAAAAAAAACAGAATACAGACTTTTCAAGTGCACATATAACATCCTCTAGTATTGACCACTTCAAGTTCAGTTCAGTCTCTCGGCCGTGTCCGACTCTTGGCGACCCCATGAATCGCAGCATGCCAGGCCTCCCTGTCCATCACCAACTCCCGGAGTTTACTCAAACTCATGCCCATCAAGTTGGTGATGCCATCCAACCATCTCATCCTCTGTCGTCCCCTTCTCCTCCTGCCCCCAATCCCTCCCAGCATCAGGGTATTTTCCAATGAGTCAACTCTTCGCATGAGGTGGCCAAAGTATTGGAGTTTCAGCTTCAGAGTCCTTCCAGTGAACACCCAGGACTGATTTCCTTTAGGGTGGACTGGTTGGATCTCCTTGCAGTCCAAGGGACTCTCAAGAATCATCTCCAACACCACAGTTCAAAAACATCAGTTCTTCGGCGCTCAGCTTTCTTCACAGTCCAACTCTGACATCCAGACATGACCACTAGAAAAACCACAGGCTTGACTAGACGGACCTTTGTTACTAGGGCACAAAATTAATCTCCACCAAGAGTATAGAAATTGTTTCAAGCATCTTTTCTGACCACAATGACATGAAACCAAAAACTAACCACACAAAAAGAGATGAGAAAAAATGATTACATAAAGACTAAACAACATGCTACTGAAAAACCACTAGGTCAACAAAATCAGAAAGGAAATGAAAAAAAATACCTTGAGACAAATGACAAAACACAACCATACAAAATCTATGGGATGAAGCGAAAGTGGCTCTTAGAGGAAGTTCCTAGCAATGAACTTGTTTAAAACAGGTTTGTTCAAAAACAGGCCTTCCTCAAAAAAACCCGGAAAAACCTCAAATAAACAACCTAAACTACCACCTAAAAGAATTAGAAAATAATAAAACAAAGATCAGAGAGAAAATAAATAAAATAGAGACAAAAACCAACCAAACAAACAAAACCTAATAAAACCAAGAGCTGATTCTCTGAAAGGGTAAACAAAATTGAAAATGCTCTGGCCAGACTCACTAAGAAGAAAAGAGATATAACCTAAATAAACAAGATATGAAAAAGGAAAAATTCTCAACTGATACCACAGAAATATAAAAAACCATAAGAGAATACTGTGAATGAGTACATGGCAACAAATTTAACAACATAGAAGAAATGGGCAAATTCCTGGAAACACAGCCCAACAAAATTGAATTGAGAACAGTAGTTAATTGAACAGACCAATCACTAGAAGTGAAATAGAATCTGTAACACAATAGCAACAAAAAAAAAAATCCATACAAGAAAAAGCCCAGGACCAGATGGTATAACAGGCGAACTCTATCAAACATACAAAGAAGAACTTACACTGATCCTTCTCAGACTGCTTCAAAAGATTAAGAGGAGGGAACACTCCCAAAGACATTCTAAGAAGCCACAGTCCCCCGATACCAAAATCAGACAAGTAGACCACCAAAAAAGAAAATTTTAAGCCAATATCTTTGATGAATATAGCTGCAAAAATTCAACAAAATATTAGCAAACCAAACAACACATAAAAAAGATCATATACCACAACCAAGTAGGATTCATTCCAAGTTCATAAGGATGGTTCAACATATGAAAATCAATGTAATATACCACATTAACAAAAGAAAAAGTAAAAAATCACATTATCATCTCAATAGATATAAAAAAAAATTTGATAAAATTTAACATCCATTTATAATACTCTTACCAAAGTGCATAAGGAGA